TATAACTGAAAATGTACTAGACATGTGTACTGAACACATACTCTGCACACCTACCGAAGATATTGCTATATCTAGACATATTTCATACTTACGGTGCTAGATACATCTGTTTGAGCGTAAATTAATATGGGTGGGAGGAAGTAAATTGCAGCAGTATTAACATGGATAAATGTGTTGCATTCGTTCCTCCCGATAACTACTACAGATCCTCACAAATAACACCTATTTTTGTTTGTAGCATTGATCACCAGTGCGTCTAAAACATAACCATTCATCCTTTTTTTCCTTGTTTTTTTAGCACATGCCTAATTGTTTAATACACATTCTTCATTGTTTATACGTCAGGAATATTTTTTTATACCCATTGAACATTTTTAAAATACAAGATTGACATTTTTTCCAAACATATATTTTGATGCTAATTTATTTATACACATTATACATTTTTTGCATACATATAAACAAATTTATACACTTTTAACATTTTCTAAATACATTATTTACATTTTTTAAAATACATGTTTTGAACCTTTTTTGAGGACGTGTTATTTGTTTCATCAAAGTCACGTTGAACATTCATTTTCATGATAGAAAACATTGTTTTAAACTATGTGAATATATTTTTACATTGTATAATATTTTTTCCAAATGTCAATTTTTTTAAAGACGTGAACATTTTATAAATGTACGTGCATTTTTTAGAATGTTTGGAAACTTTTTTCTGAACTACAAGAAATATCTTTTACATTTTATAAAAATATAATGTTATGGTATCAAGAGTTTTTTTTAAATTACACAAATATAATTTTATGCTGTTTTATTTTTTATAAAGTTAGGTAAATATAAGCTTTGAATTGTATCTACTATTAAATTTTCTTCAAAAATATGACAAAAAGAAAAACCAAATAAAAATACAAAGGAAATCAATCTAACCTGCAAGAAGCTAATTGGGCTAGCACAACTGGTCGCTCTCTGTAGGCGAGTGCGGTTGATCGAGTTGTGGGTTTGTGCCTGTCGAAAGCCTGTCCCGTAGATTCGCCGTTGAATTACACACATACATAGGTGATTCATCTGGTCCATTGATGACGGCGGATCTCGACGGCGTGACGCAGTGGAGACTCAGCGACTGATGAGCGGAGATGGACTCGCGCAGGAGGGTGACACTGTCTGGCGTCGTGGTGGCGTCAGCGGCAGCTAGACCGGACAAGGTTGATGCAGCAGTACAGCTCTGAAAATGAATTGGTAGTGGGTGGCTGCGGCGGCCTCATACCCGGCAGGCGTCCTGGTTGAGAAGCACGCCGGAGTGGTAGGTGCCCATACCCGGCAGGCGTCCTGGTTGGGACCTCAAGTCTTAGATGTTAGGTTTGGCTGCGAGATCTGTTTGGTATTAGGCCCAGACTTTCAGTGCCCCTACATCAACTGGATAGGGATAGCGACAGATGTTGCTTAGTTGGTGGCTTTAGGCTTATTGTTGTATGACTCTGTAAGGTCTTGTGTCAATAATTAATAAAATGGCCGTATGCATCGTCCAGATGCAGAAGCGGGAGGTCGTCCTTCGTTTCTGAAGCATATTCTCAAAAAAAAAAAACATTAGAAAGCATTAGTCGTCTGGTAAAAGGCAACTGATAGCAGAACGCTAGGTTTGCACAAAGAAAAATCAGCCAAAAAGTAGGCATGCAATCAAGATCGAAGAATTTCTTGAGCTTCACACCAACGCCTTTTTAAGTTTTGTCAAAACTTAATGTCTACGTGACTTATACTATAATTTGTACGATATAAATAAGACATGTGTTATCATGAAGGAAAAAGGAGTTTACTGCCACGACAGCCGGCTTTGCTGTTGCACACATACGCACACGTACGTTATCCAGCAGAGAGAGCCTCCATTTGTAGCCAGCAGAGGGACGGATCGATGGTTGCGATGCATGTACAGCCGCACCGCACTTTGCATGGCAACATCGATCTCGCCTTTACATGTGCTACAGCTTTGTTGATGGTGCCAATGGTTCTGTTTGGATTCATAGGTTAGAATTAGTTTGGATTAGTTTGGACTTAACTAACCTAAAAATATTCAAATAAAAGAATTAGTTTGGGTTAGATGCATCTAACCTATCCAAAAAAACCAACTCATCCAAAAGATGTTTATTTGGGTTAGTTTTTCTGGGAACCATTAAAAAACACATTTTTCTCTCGCTCTTCCTTCAGCAAATCCCTTCCCACTTCCTCAAGTTCTCGCCCTCTCCCTCCCTCCCTCTCACACCGCCCATGAAGGCGCCTCGCTGTATCCGCGCTTCATCTAACCCTGTCATTCAAACACCTCTTTAGTTAGAGTTAATTTAGGGTTAGTTTAGAATTAAAATCTAACACTAACCTCTAACTGAGTTAGAGCATCCAAACAGAGCCAATGCCATGCGTTCTCTAGCCAAGATCTCGATTGTATGCCCAAGAAAAGGCATAACTAAAAGTGACGGCTTGGTTGCACTTGCAAGCTGCAAGCCTGGCTACTACTGGTACGTATCTTGTAACAGTAGCTTTTTACAGAACGTACACGTGCCTAGTTAGCTCTACAGGTCTGGATTAAATTTAATTTTTGGAAGAAAACAGTGCAGGATGAAACTTTGTGAAACCTGAAAAAACATGGGGAGCCGGGGGGTACATACGGCATCGTAAAGCATGGTCCAAGTAGGATGGAGAGATAGGGATAGAGAGGTGCGTGTGTACGTGTTGCAGGCACTATGTCCGGTATGAACAAGCAGTTTGAGTTTTTCCTAGCATGCATTTCTCCTGGTTTCACACGGGAGGGAGGGAGCAGAGTGTGAAGGCGGCACTACTTGCAAACACTTTCGTATGATATGATCGAGAGTGCCTTTGCCTCGTGGTCGAGAGCTGTGCATGCCGCTTCTCGCCGGGCACGACCACCACGCGTTACGGGCCGCACACAAGAGAGTCAAGAGTGCCAAGATGAATACTCCATCATTGTTGACGTGGACATGTGTCTAGTGGACACATCGATGGAGCAGTTCCTTCTCCACGTATTTCTTTCACTTGCCCGTTGCCGTAGGTAGTTGAAAAGGCCTAGGATCTACGACGCCCGACCTCAAACCGCCCGCAACCGTTAGGATTTTACAGTCCGGATGTTTTTTGCTATCAAATGTGGATCTGTATCGGTCCGCTGACCGGTTCATACGTGACTATTTTCCCTAAATCGAAAACAAACTGTGGAGGCTTTGCGGGCGTCCAAACCATTGTCACGCCCGTTTCTGATCGCTCTGACCCACCTAAAAACCTTCCCCGCCTCTCCCGCGCTTTCAATTCAATGCTTGCACTGCTTGCCGGGGCACGTTCATGCGGCCCAGAGCATGCACCTGCCGACATTGATGTCAAGCGACCAGATCGGACGAGAGGGTGGCGCTAACGGACGCAACCCCCCGAGTGTCGCCGCTTCAATGCGGACACCGTGTCACAAGAAACCAACTCCTGTCGCCGCATTGAAGCGAGCTGACCGGCCCTTCGCATTGTCTGGTCGCAACTATTTAAGCCGTGTGCCTACGATGCACACATCCACACTGCATCGTCTCCTAGCCCCTCGTCCTCGTCCCGCTTCTTCATCTCCAGCGATGCCGAAGTTTTGGTTCTCCGTGCCGGTAGGCGAAGGCGGCGGAAATTCTTTGTCGGGCGGATCATGGGGCTGCCGCCCTCGCCCGTTGGGCCCCTCAACATCCACGGGGACGACTCCTCCGACAAGGAGATCGTCATCTCCTACGGCGACGAGGAGGATCAGGTGCTGCCGCAGGAACACCAGCCGCAGCAGACCGCACCTTCTCGCGGTGGCGGCTCTGACAGACGAGGAATTCGTCTGATAGATGGAGCTCATGATGGAGCGATCACTCCGTCAGATGGGCCCGGCGCCACTCTCGCCTCCGTCCATTATATTATGCCACATATTAAAAAAAATTGACTACACAATAATTAAATACAATATATAATATTTATTTTCAGTTTTAGATTATTAATCTAGCTATGCAAGTTTCATACAATCAAGTCACTGAAATACATTGCAATCGATTCCGGGAGCAACGCGTGGGGGTTTTCTCTATATAATCAACAAAAGTGTCAAGACACACACATACACACGAGCAACGAGCAGCATCAGACGTCTGGCCGGACGGGACCAGAAAGCAGCGGGCTCATCAACCCCGGCCGACCATGCACCAGCGGCTGCTCCGGCAATGCCGTCAGTGCCCATATCACATTGGCTGTGTGGGACACCTCGTGGGATCGATCCGGTGACTGTAGCGCCGTCGCTGCCACCAGTTAAACAAACCAGACCAGATCTGCTCTGGTGTCCCCATGCCCAAATGCATGCTCCACATACTAGCAAACATCTCACACCTGCGACTACTCAAGCAGCCACAGTTTCTCTTGTCGCTGCACACCTTCGGTTATTATTAGGCGAAAAACTTTGCAGTTTGCGCTATAATGAACTGTTCTTCTCTACAGTCTGAAAAGATCAACTCAGATTTGGTAGTATCTTCAGACTTCAGTGTCAGAGAGAGAGAGAGAGGGCAGGTAAACAGTGCCTGGATCTGAATGATTGTTCAGGATGGCATCCAAGGAGAAGACAGCAAGTAACACAAAAGCAAAAGGTTGAGAGCAATCGATTTCATTCCAATCCTGATGCACCATGAAACCATACATTCATTCCTCATAATCGTAGAATGTTGCACCCAAGGCCAGCAAAGGTTAGATAGATCTACAACTGCTACTACAAAACTACAAAAGCAACTCCTAATTCAATTCAATTAGCATCAACAACAGCATCAGACATCTCTCGCCTTGCACACACACACGAGCAGAGCAACCCAAGCCAAGCACCCACTCAAGAATCCTTCCTACATGAGCAAGCCAAGCCAAGCACCCACCAAAGAATCTCCCCAGTCCAGATGCCACAACCAATCGTCAGGAACTGTACAGAGACCACAGACGGCTGGCTGGATCGCCTAGTCGAAGCTCGAGGACCGGCTCCAGTACCCGCCGTCCGCCGAGGTGTCGGCGGTCCGCTCCGTGCTGCACCGCGACAGCGTGTCCTCCTCCTCATCCACGCCCAGCAGCGCCATGTTCAGATGGGACTGCATGTTTGAGCGCGGGGTCATCGCCTCCTCGTCCGACACGTCCGAGCCTGCGCACATCTGCGACCTCGCCCATTGGACTGTCTCATCGTCCCCCTCCAGCAGCTTCAGCACCTGGGTTCGCGTGGACAAAGTTTAGCCAAGTCAGATATCTGGGGCAGCATGGTTTTCATGAGATATTGGTAGTGTTTTATATGCGTTCTTACTAGCGGCATTTCAGGTCTGGAATCAGAAGACGTCCTCGTGCACAGCGAGGCGGCGAGCGTCATCCTCTCCATCTCGTCACAGTCATAGTCGTTGCCCAGAGCCGAATCCACCAGCTGCTTGATCTCCCCACTTGAAAGTAGTGGCCTTGCCTGAAATGAAAGCAAGTGCGAAAAATTAGGAAAAGGGAAAGCAGATCTCACTTGTGCACCGCAAGAGTGAGTATGAAGTCAACAAAGAGAAACAGAGCAAGTGCAGCAACAGCCTAGTGCCATTTTTATATATGTATGTGCAGCTACTATCTTGTTCTCAGAGCATGTTACTGTTCCGATGAACCAGCTAGGCGTATAAATCGAGTGAGGGGGTACTCTACTCACCCATCCAACCAGGCTTTCCTGGCCCTTCGCACATCCTGTTATAATGGGTTTTCTCCCTGAAATTATCTCCAGCAGCACAACCCCAAATGCATACACATCGATTTTCTTGTTCACCTTCCCGTGCGAAAAATATTCAGGTGCCATGTACCTGTCGCAGCAGTGATTTGTTTAGACACTTCACATTTCATAAAACATAAAAGTGGCAACAAACATATATAGCTCAGAGATGATACTCACCCAAAAGTTCCTGTGATGTCAGTGCATGTTAGGTGAGGGGTTGAAGCTGAAACTTTCTTTGCCAACCCAAAATCACACAGCTGAAATTTTAAAAACAGAGACGATGTCACGACCAGAGCAGAATTTGACAAGTTACAGGCTAACCACAATTCATCCATCACTGCTTACGCATTAAGGCACTTGCATATATAATATATATTTTAAAAGTAGTTACTGCAGAAAAGAGAAAAGCAGAGTATTTTCTCTTGGTACTTGCAAACAGATCTCTGAATATTTATACCTGGGCCTCAAAATCCTCTGAGAGGAGGATGTTTGCAGATTTAACATCTCCGTGAATCACAGACTCGGTGACACCACCATGATGCAAAAATTCAAGCGCCTTTGCAATGTGAATTGCTATCTTATTTCTCTTTTCCCAGCTAAGGCTATGCTCACACTTGCCTGAAGAACAGTTACAGAATATTAGTCCACTTAAAAAGAGGGTTGGGGATGGGATAGGTCGCGTATTTCATCATGATGCTTACCATGAAGCGCTTTGTCTAAGCTTCCCTGGTGCATGTAATCGTACACCAACACAAGGAAGTAGTTATCAAAGCTGAATCCCCTTAGTGAGACAATATTCTCATTTTGCAAGCTGGTTACAGTCTCAATTTCCGTAATAAACTCCTGAAGTGCATCAACTGAAGGTTTCAGAATCTTTGCAGCATACAAGGTGCCATCATTTAATTGTGCCTTGTAAACGTGGCTAGTTCCTCCCTTCCCAATCAACATATCTGCAAAAGAAGATTAGCTTTTAGTTTCGCAGAAAACATATCTGTATTAGTGAAAGAAAATCGGGTTCCAGTTTTGCTAAAACAAACGTATATAATAGAGCAATGTAGATGCCAAATAGAATTACCTGGTGAGAAGTTTGATGTAGCAAGTTTCAGCTCCTCATAACTAAACAGCCTACATACTGAAGAATACTCTTCTTGAAGAGATCCCAGTTCACTGGGAGGCCATGCCACATCATACAAAGAGAAAGAAAATATAGATTCTGGCTCAGCAGTGGAAGTGGAATCACATTCTGAATCACCACGCAACCTCGGACTTGTATCAGATTTCAAGGATTTGTTGTCCGGGTGCACAGAACTGTAACGGCTTGGGAGCCTCATCGCCCATTGAACCATGGACACTTTGGCCCACTCAAAAGATGAGGTTCTTTCATGGTGGAAGATTCTCCTTCGCAGGCGGCAGCGGTCAGACCTTCCTTCGATCAGCCTTCTCAGAGACATTGGAGAACTAGTAGGGGTTTCCTTTTGCAAATCCTCAGGTTCTGTAGATACTGCGGAAGAAGAACGTTCGGTGGCACCCATGGAAACCGAGCCATCTCTCTTATCAGCAGATGTTTCAAAGCTCAATGGAATATCACTGGAGAAACTACTGCTCCGCCTGATGGCCCTAAACACACTTCTTACACCAACAGAGCGCTTGGATCCCCCAGAACTCCCACCTGAATGTCCACCATTCTTTGACAGCCGGCAGAACAGATCCCCATCATCTTTGTGGCCTGAACTCGAACGCTTAGAATCATTGCTGCTCCTGCCTGAATTTCCATTCCTCGGGGGCAATAAGCAAAACAGATCGCCATCCCCTTCGGCTGGTGGCTCAGTCGAGTCAATTTCTTGCCGACTCGAAGTACTTGCAACTGAATGGTCACTCCTTTCCGGCAACACACAGTACAGCACACTGGCACCCTCGCCTGGTAGATCGGCGACCACATCTTTCTGGTCCATTGTTGACTCTTTGTTCCTGTCAGAAGGATCTGCTTCAGTCTGAACCTGTTCCGCCGTGGACATCTCAGCAGGTTTCACACTCGATGGCTGATGTTCTTCCTCTGGCTGACTGCCCTTTGCACCAACATCATGCTGTTCTTCGTCGGCGGCGTCGCCATCTTTGCTCGGTTCATCACAAGGCAACTCGCTCTCTTCTTTACCCTGCTGACTGGCACCGAACGGCAGCACACAGTACATCTCATCATCACCACAGCCAGGAACATCCGCCGACACCTTGCCGGAGTGAGCATTCGATTCTCTACGGTAGACGATCTTGCCGCCATTGACGGCGAGCACCGCGCACTTTGCCGGCAGCTTCTTCGCGCAGTACTTGGCAACCGACAGCGAGGACCTGGCAAATGAATCCGAAGCAAAAGTTCAACGACAGTGGGTGGTAATGATTGGGTGGAAAAAGTTGAGGAACTCGATAGTGGCAAGCACCGAGGATCCAATGCTTCCGTGATGGTGGGGGACTTACCCGATGGTGCGCTTCCTCTTGGTGATGCCCAGGACAAGCTTGGAGGCCCCGAACAGGGTGGCCTCGCGAACCAGCGCCTTGCGGACCGACGAGCCCTTGCAAATCTTCACCTTCAGATTGATCTGTTCATCACATCGCACAAGGGGAAGTTCGTTACCACGCTGAAGTTGAGCAACTGGTACTAGATGGCAAATTCACCAGCAGATCAGTGTGGTAACCGCTTTAGAACGGAACAGGGGCAAAAATTCTCCAGCAGTTTGCTATGGGGGGACAAATCGGCAGGATTTTTATTTTTACAGAAGGAAATCCATGAGAATGAGGAGTAAAAAAAAGAATCTTTGCAGCATGGGTCAAGACGATCTGATTAGAATACACCGCGATTACGCACGCTGGATGGATGCTACTGCTAGTCGATAATAGATCCAAAAATGGTGGAGGAAGAACAGCCCCCGGAAATCCAACTTGGCATGGAGAGGAGATTTCTGTGGAGAATCTATTGTTGAAGCCAAGAAATCAGCCGAGAAGATAGCATTTTGGGTGGCACAGCACCCGGAAGAATCGCCGAAGAAGAAAAGTTGTTAAAATCCAAACCTCCGAGCCGCGCCCACAGGAAATTATACTACTGCTCCAAGAGATGGAGCAATTAATGGCGGGCGAAGAATAAAGGGGGAAGGCCGGAAGGGGGTTCACATGCTTGGTTGCTGGCCAATGGCGACCAACTCCCATCCATCCAACTCCTTTTACAGCGCACGCGGCAAGCAACGGTTGAAAAGGGAGGGGGCTGACCCGCTTGAGATTGCAGAATCCCTCGTAGACGGCGAGCATGCCGTCGAAGTCCACGGCGGCGGCGGCCTCGGCCGCGGAGGCGAGCACGACGTGGACGGCCACGACCCGGTCCCCGGCGGCGACGGCATTGACGAAGGCCCACGTGAGCAGCGCCCGGCTCTCGGCGTCCGCCCGCACGCCCACCACCACCGTGCCCCCCTCGCCGGCGCCGGAGGGGCGCGCCGCCTCCTCCTCCTCCTCCCCCGGCCCGCCGGCGCTCAAGTCCATGGCCTCCTCCTCCGCCGCCGCCCTCTGCTGCTGCTGCTGCTCCTTGGTGGACACCTTCATGTCGAGCGTAGCGTGGCCTATCCGGTCAGGCGCACGCCTCCATGGATGCCCGAGCCGTCGCCGCCTGCCGCCTCGGTCGCCGGGGAGGCTCTGTGCGTGCCGTTGGCAGGTTCCTCCCTCCCTCTCCTTCTCGGCAACCGTCTCCTCCCTCTCGCTGTGGCCTCGCTTGCCGTGCCTCTTTGTTCCGTTGCTCGGTGGCCACTGCGGTGCGGCCCTTGTCTCTCTCTCTCTCTCTCTCTCCTCCGGGGGCGGGGGCGGGGGCGGGCGGTCGTGTTGGTTCGTGCAAGCTCTCGTCTCGTGGCGTGGGCGTGGCCGTGTGGGTTGGTTTGGTTTGGGCTCTGCTTTCTGGTTTCTCTCTCCCACCCCACCATTTGTTTAGTACTAGCCGTCTGGCAACTGCCGCTCTTTTTATTTCCCTTTTCTTGCCGAATATACCCATTTTTCCTTCGCTGCTTTTCTTTTCTTTTTTAGACCAAGTGCCGCTTTTCTTTCGAGGCACATAAAAAGAGAATGTCTACTTATTATCTTTCTTTAGGGACCAGAATGTCGATTTTCTTGGATAGTCTTTTTGCCGACTGATTTTTATTCACACTACTTTCTGCAGATATATGTAAAATGACTAGATAAGGTAAATGGAATACCTAAAACAAGAACGGATACAACCCACATCAGCACACACGCATCTTATAGTAACACATCCAATGGCTATAAAATGTGAATGAGACCAGATTATATCTCATCTAGCAAAACTGTAAGGTAAATGTGCGGACCCTCTCCTTTTGGCCAACCGCTTTTTTACTCGCATCGCACAGGTAAAAAAGAGATGCTTCATGCCGGTCTGTACAGCATAGGTACGCCGGAATAACTTTGTTCGCTGTCAACTTTTTTGCTTGGCTTTGCGCGTGTGTATTTGTAGGGTGCCACTTGGGCTGTAGTCTGTATAGAACAAGGCTGTACTAGCAATAGCATGCATCGCTGGCAAATAGTGGCACGTGATTAGGATTATCATTTTTACCAAAGCGGAAAAGCCCGCGCTTTTGATTTGGTCATCATCATCTGTGACCGGCTGCGGAGTAGTATACTACGTACAGTAGGCTGTCTTGTGCTGTGGCCTCCATTATTACTGCCCCTCTTCTTTTTCCCTTCGAGGAGGCCACCTCCTACTAGTACTAGTCGTAGTAATTACTGCGGCTGCTCCGTAGAGTGAATCAAGACTTGGCCAGCTCATTGATTACATCGCTGTCTGAAAAATCTCAGAGAAGCCATCAGCACATTCACGCCACGCATGCGTGTGTGGATAAACAATATTACTACAAGGGATTTCCTTCTCGGCTTTTTTTTGTTGTGGTTTATGTATTCATTTTTTCCTGGATCAAGTTGCCCATGATGCATGCGCTGCCTGATTCGGCAGCCGGCAATAATAATAACTCCAGTGCCAAACAGTGTGGACGAGCACACCAAACTAAGCTCTGCCAGTTGCCATTACTCCACCCGGCGCATAGGTCAGATCAGATGCAGATTCATCCGGGAGATTAACAACACTTTTTAGGCTAGTCATAGTGGTAGTAACTTAGATACTAACATAGCGCACCTCGAGAATCTTTTACTTATGTGGCAAGTAGTTAATGAGAAGTAGATACTCTTTCCATTCCATAATGTAGTGCTTCCTCTATCCTCGTGCTTCAACTTTGACCGTAAATTTAACTATCAAGACCGATTGCGGCGGGAGCAAAAATTATATCAGGGAATTCATATCCGAAAGAAGTTTTTAATTATATATTTTTTCTTCCGCCGCAGTTGGTCTCGTTGGTTAAATTTATGGTTAAAGTTGAACCTCGAAAAACGCGGACGCACTATATTTTGAAATGAAGGGAGTATTAAATGAGGCCATATATGACACTAGTATATGTTACTTTGCACTATGAAGATAGTAACTTAGACTAGTGTGACACTAGTCTAAGTTACTCACCGCTATGACCAGCCTTAGCAGGCCAGATCCGGAGAGGCTCTCTCAATGATGCCTACAGTAACCGAAGGGGCTGAGAATTCAGAGGGAGGAATTCCCTAAAAAGGGTAAAAATCATAGGGGAAAAAGCGGTCGTATCTGGTCTTCGCCGGGTCGTTAGCTTGTGTTTATTACTCTGCTCCATTAATTTAATGGATGTTGTGGTGTGGTGTCTGTTCTGCTGGGAACTGTACTGGGCGCCAAGGTCACGCCGTCACACTCCCTGCCCCCTGCTGCCCGCCTAGCTAGCTACCCGTTCACCTCCTGCACGCAAATGCACCGCACCGCAACCGCTTTCTTTTCATTTCTTTTACGATGGAAAACACAGCAATCTTGGCAATTTTCTTACTATTTAAATTTTATACTTTATTTTCCATTTCGTAGTCTAAGTTGCTTGGTCCTGCGACAAAACTTATAATTACAAGGAGAAAAGGCTCAAAATAGTCCTGCGACAAAACTTATAATTACAAGGAGAAAAGGCAAATAATGAGGGAGAAGCCTTGCCTAGCTTCCAACCCATTTGGTAGCAAAAATTATTGACCAAACCAGTCAAACAGATTCTTCAACACATGAACCGGGCCGATGGGGATTATCTATTCATCAAATGTACTTAATTTAATTGCTCGTATTTTGGCCTTTTCTACGCTCATGACCTTGCCTTCGCGGCAAAGGCAAATTCGCATGGTATTTTATTGTTAAGAAATTAACATATTATACACAAAGAAAAACAATACTGCCTTCTAGTACTAGCTAGAGATGGCGACTTTTTTAACTGTATCACTTGCGTGGCCTTACATATTGAAGTTGGAATCAATCAACATCGTGTACTCTCACACACACAGCCATAGAGCAAGAACATCTTTAACAGACCCCGTAAAATGCCGTGCCCGTAAAATAACCGTCAGAATATGGATCGGCGCGAAAAATCCTACCCGAACAAACCCCGCAAACATGTCCGACCCATAAAAGTTTTTGCGAGGCGAGACATAATTCCCGTCCCAACCCGCGAAAACGCCCCCCCCCCCCCGGCCCGTCGGCGCTCTGTATATAGTAGGAGCGGTTGGT